ATTCGATGCAAGTGAAATTATGTCTTCCATCACTAAATTAAGATCGTGACGTCATGATACCTACACAAAATGTGGCACGCTTGGTCTCCATATAAATCGACGAACATGTTCCTTCTAACTAGATTTATTTCTGTGGGGGGACCCCTGGTGAGATGTCGTGAGATTTTATTCAACCCCCTCCCCCATCCCCAATCTCACGTGAGATTTTTCAAAATGCAATTTGATGAGTACTTGCGAGTATTTGCCTTGTTGTAGTATCGAGTATCACTTTTGAAAGTATCGATACCTACTCGGTATCGAAAGTATGGTTCGAACCCTACAAATATGGTGGTTTGACATTCAGTAGATGTATAGCGTCGAAGTATGAATGAAATTATTTTCTTTTGAACGAATTAGTGAATGATCTTAATCGTATACGATTACGCTTAAGATATAAGCATGTACAATCTGGATTAAATGGACCAAAATAGTATTTTTTTTTATTCAATCAGAAAAAAATTGCGTGATATTTGCCGAGACCCCCCCTCTCTCCAACGTAAGATTAGATGAGATTTGCCTCGACCCCTTCCCCCCCCTTAAACATCTCACGTAATTTATGGACGCCCCCTAATTAGGCCATAGTTCGTTCGATAACTACACAAGATTAGTACTTGTGGCGCTGCGGCATTTGCGTGGGCAGCCCAGCAGCGCCACATTATTTATTTAACCATTCGAACTGCGCCAAGGTACCACGCCAGTAGTCAAACTACACCTACCTTTGCCAACGAGAGCTTTAAAGTATGAACAACGTCACTTTCAGCAAGTGGAGTGAAATAAAACTAAGTTCATACTTTTTAATCAATAGTTTACTTTTTCATAAAAAAAATTTGACAACATGTTTAAAAACTGACATACTTTTACGATATTGCACCATTATCATCCATAAAAGACAATAAAAACAAACATAAAGCGACATATTTTCCATTCAAAACTTAACAATCGACGATTTTAGCTTACGTACTGCAAGTTACATTAGACAAATGCAAAATTGTGATGTACAATTCCATTTTTGGTACCAAAGATCAGTAATAAAAAAATAGTCATTATTGTATAATTCAATATAAGATTATGCACATTTATGAATATAAATACACTAATACATGCAATAATTTCAATAATAAAGCAAATTTACAACAACATAAAAAAAACAATTATGGGTCCATCTGATTTTATTATAATATCAAAATTGAATCTCTTTCACTGATGTAATGCACACCAATCGACAAATAGAGATCAACGTATATCATATATCAATTAATTATGTACACAATTTCTACCCCACACATATGGGGCGGTTTTATAATTAATGTTGTGATTTTGTCGCGGACGTACACAGTGAAAAATAACAAGACATCGATATAAATTGTTTGGAAATACATAAAAGTTTTTTGAGACGACGTGGAACATGTCCTTTCCTCTAAAAACGTTACAATATTTTTGAAACGTAGTACGACGGAATGGCTTTGTGTAGCCATTTTTAGAATAAATTGTTAAATAACTAGTAACATTGGTACTAAAATATAGTTTTTATTATATTTGCGGTCAATTGATTAAAAGTTGGAAATCGGCGTCTACGTTAAATTAAAAAGTAACCATTAGTAAAGCGAAAATGACTGTGGAGAACACTCAGCATCGGAACTATAAAGTCAAAACTGCACAGTATTTAGAGTTGTGCTTCGTTTCTGACAACCACTTAGCTGTTCAATAATAGGTGTTGAAGTTATTTTGTAAAAGTAAAAGCTATAGAAAATATCACAAGAGGAGCAACAGTATATTATTTGACATTTCAATATGTCAAGATTCAGTTTCATTTTATTTTTCATTCATTTCATTTTATGTGTAGAAACTAATTTATTCACTTGACATTGGCACAATTGTGCGAAACGCGCAGATAAGCCATTATTAAATGAAGAAGAAACTCTACCCTGCGAAATTGGCAGAATTATGCGAGATGCACAGATATGCAATTATAAAAGAAATAACTCTAACTTCAGAAATATTGACGTTTAAAAACAGGTGGAAAAATTTGTACAACCTAACGTGCTGTTGGGTGTACCTGCTTTTCTGTTTTCTAACGCGATAAAAGCAGTGGCGGAATAACCGTGTCGGGGGCCGGGGAAACATCAAGCCCCAGGATCTACAACTTTTTCCAATCGGGGCAGAAACTTTATATTGCGTTTAACCACCCTGCAACATGCCTATTAAATAATTTAAGGCAAGTCAACCCCAATTTATGATTTGATAAAGGGAACTTGCAGCCATTGGAGACCCCCTGCACAAAAGGCCAGGGGCGGTTCGCCCCCTCTCCCCCCACCCTTAGTCTGCCCCTGGATAAAAGTAAATAGAATTTTTAAAATCAAAAATAGTCGCTGTCGTATTTTTAGTTACTTTTAATAACTACACTTCGAAAGTTTATTTTTTTAACCATTTTTAAATTATATGTAAAGGAACGAAAATTAATGGCAGAGTAAGTAAGAAACTACCGTTTCAATCTAAGGTTTTAATGGTCCATTTTGATCTCATTTTTATTCAATGTCATTTTAATAGTTCCACTACATAATAACTTTAGTAGATGTTTCAATAAACAAAGTAAAATTGAGTAATTTAATAATTTCTCTTTTTTTAATTAGCTCATTCAAAACATAATCGCTATATAGATAATATGATATTTATAATTATCCATTTAATGTTGGTAATATTTCGAATGAAATGCAACCTTGTTTAGTCAGAGAAAAATATTCTAATAGTCATTTCTAAATTAATAGAAATGGTTTAGATAAACATTTTTTTCTTTGTAAATTTAATCAATGTAACTAATACAAAACGACAAAAAATAAAAAAAATCTCATTTAGTTATTTTACAAGACAGTGTTTTTGATTATAAGAAATTACTGACAAACAGGGTAAGGTAATCAACAAACTATAAAAATATTAAAATTTAGCGTAAATTTCATGATGGTGACTTAAATTGAAAAACTGAGATTGGGTAACGGATAACACAAATTGTATAACTATATATAAAATAGATTTCTTAATCGGAAGACTGATTTATCATACACTATATATGCAATGTTTATGTTATGGACCAGGTGATTAATGCGGGTATTATGAATAATGTGCTAGCCTATCGGACTAAGTGATTAATTTTATGTAAACTTTATTATTTATCAGATTGCACGCTCATTATTATTATGCAATATGACAATTTAATAATATAGTTAAATTTGGCGCGGCGTGGGGAGGTCAGAACGTGTGTCAAGGTTTACCATAAGATGCAAATTATGCCAAATAATGAAACTGATTGTTGGTTGCAAATAAACTAAGTAATTTTGGTCCTACAAGTCACGTGATAAGTTAGAAATTTAAGATGGCGAAGCGCAGCGTAGCGATCGTCTTGAATTTCGAATTCTTTTTTTAAAATAAAATAATATTAAAGTTTTTTAGTCTTCCTACTTTCGTATATCATATATTTTTCACGAGAAAACGAAACTTTTAAGGCTATAAGGTTGTGTATGGTCTAAAATATAATTATATGGATAATACAGCAATAAAATTTGGCGTTTCCCCATTTGGTACACATTGGCGTAGTCGCAGATTCTAATTCTAATTTTGCTTCCGTCAATACTTCTAGGTATAAAATATGCCTAAGATATGTTTTATACAAATATATGTTTTGAAATCTTTGTTTTTAATTTTATAGGTATTGTGTTACGTATGTTTATAATATTACTTTTCTTAAGTTAAAAAATGCAAAAACTAGTGGATTCGTAATGTATGAAATCCTTGTTAATAAATCCAAATAGTAAGACTGAATATTTAATTATTGTTTAACATGTAGTTTATTTGAAGTGATCTTATTTATGTACTTGGACTGGATAGAAGTCAATAGCGAGCTCATTATAAAAAAAAATAACAATAAAAATGAAAAATTACTAATTAAATGTGTTTGTATTACTCTGCCCAAATGATCAATATGTATAATGCCCGGTCAATTTGATCATTTAATAAATATTATCAAATTGAGAAAGATATTGGGCATTTTTCATAATGATTGGGCATTATGTATAATTTATCAGTTGGTCCATGACATTTATGTATCTGTGATTTATCAAATAAATCGAGTGCTGGTCTTAGATATTAACTCAATAAATAAAATATATATAACCTTAACTACCGATCATAAAAATAAAATGGTCATAACCATCAGCAGTGGACGTCTTCCGGCTGATGATGAAGATGATGATGATGAACCATTTATATCATTACAGTTTAACGTGTTACTACGCCAGATCATATTTGTTTCTAAATAATATCTAACACCATCACACAGAACTATCAATTCGAAACATATGCATAAGCACTTACTTAAATAAATTATTCTAATCCGTTCTAATCGTATTTGGAATAACCACGTGGACTTTGATTGTTATTTTTAAATTCGTGGTAAAAAAAAAAATCGCATTTGCAATTATTTTTACTATAAAGGAATTCAAATCAATGACTTGGGGGCAAACTGTATATTTATATATATAAAAAAAAATTGATTTAAATTTAAACATGCTAGCAGTACTAACCAAATAATCTTGTTATCCTGAACATTTGGAAATTAGTTAAATATGGCGTCCAAAATCGATACATTTAATATTTAATGGAATGCAAAAAGTATTCGTATAAGAATTCGGTGCAAATCGATTGATAACTTGCTGCGGGGAATGTTTCAAAGTTCATATTATTATGTTAATTAATCGCACACAAAACGAGAATACTTTTCTCGATAGTCTCGATTAAGAATTATATTTTTTGTTGTTTGTTCAACTACAATATGCACAAACATTCCGAAAGAAGTTCGTAATAAATGAAATTTATTTTACTCATGTATTATTATGTCTTCAGCACAAATAATGTGCACAGTTGCGCTTATTTGTTCGGTATTTAAATTATACTTCCTAGCATTTCGCTGTCGATGCTACAAAAATCAAATAGCATTATTGTCATCCAGCTAAAGCTAAATCGATAAGAGTTGTTGGTCGCCTAAGACCAAGACAATTGTCCAACATCGAGAGCTCGATTAGCACAGTTGTTCTTCGACGAGGGTAGTTGACTTTTCTCGAATAACACATTTGGTCGTCAGCTACGCTGTCGAATAGTACAGTTGTTCGGTAACTATATATGGTATCGTCACGTAAACTACGGTTGTAGTAAATCTTGCGTGGATAGTCTGTTGAGACTATCGCTGAGATCGCCTCTGTCGTTGTTGAGCATGGAGGAGAGATTGGAGAGATCACCAGAGTTGAAAGGTACGTCGTCCTCGCCGGGGTTCATAAGCAACGCCGATAACGAGGGCGTACTGTTTCCCGTAGAATCCATCTGTTTAGGAATAATTAAATGTCTTATGTAAATACACCTCGGTAGTTTTACCTGGCTGTCGCTTTTACATGACTCGTGGTAAAATATTCTTTACGAAATAATACGTCTACTTCTATTCTATCTACAAAATTACAGAGCCTAAATAAAAAAAATGCAGACTAGTTAGATAGTAGAACATAAGAAGGCTCTTGGCCAGTTTCTTTAATGATTACAAGAAGTTGATATATTTGTTTCATATTTTAAACTAATTGGTGGGTCTTTCAATTAGGAAGTATTTTACGTAAAAAAAAAGAAAGCACTAAAAAAGCACCCCACTAGATGGCGACTCTACCAAAAGTTGTTTTTTGCAGGAAACGAATGGTACAAAGATAGTAATTTCCGTTTCTTTTATAACATATAAAAAAAAAATAACTAACATATAAAAAAATTGAAATTTGCAAGGTTCGAAACTTACATATCAACAAATACGAAAAACGAAAAAGTACAAATAGAATATGAGTCGTTTATTGAGTTTTGAAAACTACATACTACTTTTATACATGAAAGAAAACCGAAAGGTTGTCATGGAGAAATCAAGAAAGTACCGTAGCGACATCTAGTTTGATTTCGGGAACTAATGTTTTATTTTTAAATACTTCCTCATTAGACAAGATGATCTGACCTGTGTATAAGTAGGCTGCTGCACCTCCGCCATGACCGGGTCGAGGGTGCCGGGCAGGTGCACCATGCCCGGCCTCAGGCCCATGCCCATGCTCATGCTCGGCATCTGCATGTTGGGCGACGCGCACTGTTGGCCCATCGGTGATACACACTGCTGACCCATTGGTGAAACACACTGTTGCGCCATAGGTGAAACACACTGTTGTCCCATTGGTGAAACACACTGCTGTCCCATTGGTGAAACACACTGCTGTCCCATAGGTGATACACACTGTTGTCCCATTGGTGATCCCTGCCCCATAGGGGATGCGTGCCCCATAGGAGATACGTGTCCCATGGGAGATACGTGTCCCAGGGGAGATACGTGTCCCATAGGAGATACGTGTCCCATGGGAGAGCGAAGTGGTACTTGCATATGATGCATTTGCACGCCCGCTACATTCTGTGAAACATAATATAATGAGAATAATCATAGTTGATCTAATGTTTTCGCATATCTTAAATTTTAATATCAAATAAGACATTTGGATGGTAAATTGTGTATTTTTGTGATAAATGAATTATATGATAGTTGCATATTCTTAAACTGGCAACGGGACAAGTATTTGAGATGATAAGTTACTAAAGGGAATTAACAAAATAATGTGTCGTTTTATAACAGTAAGAAATTGTTATAAAAATTGACTTTTCATATTTTATTAAACCATCAAAAATATCAAGAATAAAAAGCACTTTCCATATATTTTTTAGATTGTAGAGTTGCGTGCGTTAAATTAATTAATCGATTAATTCTATCGATATTCTGGCAGCTATAATGAGAGAAATTATGTTTTTTTTTAAATTAGTTCTAAATAATCTAATCTCAAAGGTTTGTTAGCCCTTTTCTTGTGAATATGGCAAACACATATAACAAAAAATAAACATCAGAGCGTATATTATACGGCTGCGGAAAATACTCCGAGATATGATCACTCGATCTCGAATCGATTCGGAGTGACTAGAATTGTATCTGATTATAATAATACTGTAGATGTAGGTAGTGAGTGTGAGTGTGTGTGTGTGTGTGTGTGTGTGTGTGTGTGTGTGTGTGTGTGTGTGTGTGTGTGTGTGTGTGTGTGTGTGTGTGTGTGTGTGTGTGTGTGTGTGTTACCTGTGGGGGCAGCAGGTAGCGGTCGCCGGCGGGGGCGGGTGAGGGCGGGTACCACATCTGACTGGGCCCCGCCTGCCACTACACAACATATGCACGCGTACATATTATATACAGTCAAGTAAATATTGTAGGCAGCGCGCTTAATTATGTGGTGTTAAGTTATACTCTAAATAATTATCATGTTATTTTAAGCCACGATCAGATATTTTACAATTTAAATATCTATTTCAATAAACATTAAAATGCCAATATAGGTGAACTTTTGTATTTTCTTTATTAAACACACCTGATCTGGATACGAAGGGTTGCCCACAGTATGAGGGGGCGTCCTGTCTGTGAACAAACGTTATCAATATCACATGGTATCCTAAATCTGGTAGATTTAGTAAATATTTTAATCTAAATGTTCATTGTCGTAATAAAATTATCGATATATTTCATATTACATTTAAATGGAAAAATCCATGCGAATTGCCTACAGCACTTTCAATTAATATATAAATTAAATTAATAAAAATATTGTTATCATAAAGAAACTTACCTCGGGGCTCTGATTTGATCGCCAGTTCTGCCAGCGATCCTAGAGGAAATAATGATGAATTAATAATAGAAATATTACACTTCAGAAATTTTGCAAACAAGAAACACATATGCCAACGTCATCCTGCCAAACGCAGTGAATAAAGCGAGAGGGTGGTATATAAATGTATACAAGCGTTTGTGTCGCGTTGAAGCTACAATTCAGTGTTGCCGAAAGTTCCACAATTGCCGTTTCATTCGGCAATCGAACTCTTTAAAATCAATTAGTACGGTGTACGGCAGAGAGTGTATAAATAGTAATCAATGGATCACACAGTCACACTAGCAAACTAAAGACTATGAAATAGAAATAAGATTACTCTCATAGTACTAGGTACTTTGAAAAATTTATAGTGGTCAATCAAAAAGTCTATCATATGCATTTCAATTTCATCACTTAGCTAACGAAGCATTATGATAAAGATTCCTTGCATTGTTAGGGTAGAGATTATAACAATGAAGAATAGCAAGCTGAATGAATTAATCTTATACAGTTCTTGCCGTAGATCAATTTATTAACATACAAACAACGGCATCTGATGAATTTTGCAGTAATTTATTCCTGGATACATTATTCCGTAAGTTAGTCTTTGAAGTTCTTTCATTTATGAATATTTGGCGAAACTTAGGGAAAGTTGAAAGCTAATATTACTTAGCTTTCAACTTTTATTACAAAAAAGAATAATTGTAATCCGATTTCTAATTTGTGAGAAAAAAAAAAACAAAATTAAATAATATTTGTAAAGTATGATTTTTCTAATATGAATATTGCGTCATTCCAAATTACACAGTAAAGGTTAAAATAATAACCTAATCTTTTGAAATCGGTTAAAAATAATAAAATGTACAGCAATTTCGGTTTTTTCCCTCGTATATGGCAAACCAATAAATGACCATCGGCAACACTGCTACAATATAAACACGCTCGACTTTAACTATCGAATTGATCATGTCCAGAAAATGTTAGGGTGACGTCAGCATAAGTGTAAGAAAAACAAGCTTAACTATGTACAATCACACCTAAAAATTATGTAAGTACATTTTTGATACTAAAATGCAATTTATGTGATTCTAATGACCATCACAAAATATCCAAAATGATACACATAATTTTAAGCGTCAAAATTTCAATTTTCACTACGTATCGATAAATATAAACTATAATAATAAAGCATGCATTGCATTAGTATATTATACATATATGTGAAATAATAATAATAATAAAAAAAAAAATAAACTTAATAACCACATCCCCGCCACAAAAACTACACATGCAATGTTTCGTATAAAAAAGGTCACTCAAAGATAACATGAATATGTGTGAAAAAACCAAAAAAAAAAAAACAAAAAGTAAAAAAAAAATCACAGTCATGCCACAAAACACATCCGTACCTTATCATATCACGTGATAGGATAGCTCGTAGACAATAAATGAAAAACAATTCCTTTTTAAAATTATAGCATATTAATATAGAATTCGCATCAATCAAGCTTCACTACAAGTATTGTCAAATAGATTTATATAAAAATGTAAAAAACCTTAAAGGTAAAACTACAACGTCAAAACACTCCAACTTCATATTTCACGAAAAAGCGGGTTTGCTACTTATTTGAAATATACAATGTTCAAAAATTATATTTATAAAGAGCTGTCGCATTTTTAAATGCTCTATTAAAGTTATAAGTTGAAGCTTTTTGCCGCTCAGTATATTCGTGGTCTGTAAATCTATATAAACTATACAATATGTAGACGCGATCTTATGTAAATTCATCTAAAACCTCAATATATATTTTATAATGTTCAATGATAGATATGTTTTGTATCTCATGTAAATACAACAGTCTGTTTCACATATTTCTGACAAAACAACAAAAATGTTTACATTGTAATTTCCATGACCCTTAAATCAAAGATTCACATTATAATAATTATAATAAATACAGAGAAAATTATTTTAAATGTTTTTTCCTACGATGACAGTTTCGTCATGTGTTAAATAACCAACCAACAGACTCTCTCTTAGTCACTAGTAGTTTTTTCGTTGTCTATTCTTATTTTAAATTTGTTAATAGCACACATATCCATATTAGCTTTAAGCGTCACTGAAACGATCTCATTTTGTACTTATAGCACTTTCGCTGCAGAAACTGCACTATTTTTATGTAATAGTGATGTACTCAGCGATTTTTTCCGTAATAACACAGACTAATTAGTACCATAGGGTATACTAATTGATAAACAATTATCAGTTCTCTCATAATACTATATCGTGCAAAAATATTTTTCTTCATTTCTGGGAAATGAAGTGTGATCATTAAGATTACATTTCCTATCTATGTTGAAAGTCAAAATCAAATTATACTTTGATACTGGCTTTCATAATTTTATTAAAATATATTTTCTATTTCTCTGCGTATGTACAAAAACAAGAATGGTATCATTTCAATAATTGGTTTGGTTTAATTTAAAGAAAAAATACCACTTACAGGCATTATACAAATATTTGCAGAGCTTTTCAGACGAACACTTTATTACCGTATAGATAAAGTCGAATATTGCATTCAAGTATAACAATTGTCTATATAATTATAATTTTTTAGCAATCAAATCGAACTTCTAATGTGAAACAAATAAATAATATATATGTACGCACTTACAGAACGAATAAAGATTTAACATAAAACAAATACTTGGAAGTCTTTTAAAGCAGGCACATACTAGTTACAACTCTTCGCCAATATGTCTATGTATATAACGTCACACTGCATGAGCATAGAGAAACAAGCTATGTTTCTAGATGTTTTAGTTGTAGAAAAACATATTGTAACTTTTAATTTTACCAATATGATAATTCCAATATTTTTTTTTAGTTTAATTTAGGGTGATGTCTTAAGAGCTCAAACACCCCAGTAAATTCTTGATTGTTGTAACCTTGTAAATCTAAAATAATATACATATATATATATATCTGTTCAAGCATAAGCAAATAATGTAATATATTATACTCCCACCACTTTATGATAAATTAATTGACCTAATTCGTTAGTAATACACCTTCACCATTCATAACTAATGAATGAACATATAATGAATTCATTACGTCATTTATAAAAATATTCATGATTATAATAAAACTTATATAATGAATGTTAAATAATACAGAACAATGACAATATTGCTATAATGGTTATTTTACACATATATAAATGTTAAATACCAATTTGAACCGTAATATGAATAGTAATAAGATTCGAATTGTAATAAACAAATATTCCACAGGACACTTACTCTCGTCGTATTCCTGTAAATTGTACGACTGTGTCTTCCTTTTCTTAATGCCTAGTATCAATTGAATATCTAGAAACATACCAAATGAAACATTAGATAATGCAACAAAAAACATAAACTCAACGACTACGATATATGTTTTAAAGCTTCATAAAAGAAAATAACAACAAACGAGATTCAAAGAGACTAGCACTTATTAAACTAATTGTCATCAAAACAATTTTTAAATACAATTAATGCAAGTTTGCCTATAATAGTGTCTATAAATGTATCCAAAAATTTGGCATTGTAAGGACGGGAGGACATTGTAAGGCAGGATTCATTTGTAGGATTTATAAATTTTTTTTTAGGGTCTTCTTCTTTTAGCCTCTTGTATTTTCAATCTTCTATTTTCCATCTTCATTAATGGTTTATGCACTCTCGGTTCTAATAGGAGAGCCATTTTTTATTTATTAACGTAAATTTGCAATAATCTTCTGTCCGTAGTCATATTAAGTAACTAATAAAAACATTTGTATACTTAAGTTATTAAATGCGCGATTTTATTTTGTATGTCATGGAGATGTCCACTATGTTTGGTGAAAATTTTAACGCTAATACGAAAATAGTTGCCTCTGTCGCCATTTTTTTTTTTCAAGTAACAACAGAATTTAACAGAATTAACTTACAATGTTAAATCTTTATAATTCTGTTATAGTTTCAAAATAAATGTACTGCAAACCTCATTTTAGTGCGTATATCTAGCAATATTTTTGCATCCACAACAGCATATTATGTTACCGGAGAATGCTAAATTCTGCAATACACTAACCATAATTATCAGCACGGGAAGGGAACATTTAAGTAACCCGACGAGGCGAGTGAACAATAATCGAATCGTTGCAATATTTTGTTTCGAAAATAAATCAAAGAATCATCACGCGAATAATAAAGAACCACAAAATTCAAGCCCGGACCGATCTCTGATATGGGACGTAGTTTTTAATATCAGCGCAACGAATGCGTCTTCGGAGCATTCAAACGGCTCTTCGCCGTCGTATTCGTCGGCGCGGGTATCCATCGGCGGGACCGTTCCTCTGCAGTTTCGACCCCATCGACCGAGACCCCAGGTCTCGATCGCGTCGGACGCATATTTCGGGAGATCCGGCCGGTCGGATCGTTAATTGTGGAATTTGGAGGCGTCCACGGGCGAGTAGTAGCAGCTGGTCTCGTCGAACTCGGAGGCGGTCGCGTGCGGCGCCACCGCCATGTACAGCGCGTAGTGCTCCGCCTCCGTCAGCTCCAGGTCGTCCTGCAGCTTGCGGAACGCGCTCGGGTCCAGCGCCAGCACGCTCTCCGCCACCAGGATGGCGCCGTCCGGCACCTGCGGGCACGGCTGCGGGCGAGGCTGCGCGCGCGGCTGCAGGCACGGCTGCGAGGCGCAGCGCTCGTCGTCCGCGTGCAGCGAGATGTGCGTGATGCTGTCCGCGTAGCCGAGGCCCGCCTGCGAGCCGCCCGCCTTCAGCGAGCTCTGCGACGCGGACGTCCGGAACCGCGGCGGCCGCTGCCCGGACGCGCTGCTCACCGACCGCCCGACCGGCTTGGTCCGCTTCTCCTTGCGGCCCTCCGACTTGACGCTGGGCGCGGGCGACTTCTCCCGCCGGCGGAACAGCCGCGAGAAGAAGGACCTCTTCTTGACCGGGGGCAACGCGGGCTCGCTGCGGGCCCCGGCGAGCGGCCCGTCGCCCTCTCGGGCCAGCGGCAGGGCGCGGCCGGGGCGCGGCACGCTGTCCACGGACGTGCGGCTGCCGCGCAGCTGGTCGGCGCCCGACACCCGGCGGACCCTCTTCGGGGGCAGCGGGGGCGCCTCCTCCGTGTCCCTCTTGAGCGGCGCGAACTCGACGATCGGGCCGCGGCACCGGAGCGCCTCCTCGACCGGCTCCGGCTCCGGCTCGGCTATCGGCACCGGGTTCCGGAAGGCGAGCTGGAGGCTCGTGTAGGTGCCGGCGTCGTCGAAGTCCTCGCTCTCCTCGTCCCGGGCGGCGGCGGCGTTCTGCAGGCGGGTCCGGTTCTCCGTGTATATCTCGTCGAGCTCGGCGACCTGATCCAGCAGCTCGTCGAGGCTCCGCTCGTTGGAGTCGGGCTCCTCGACGTCGAGGCCGTTCACTTGCATCGTTTCCGAGGCGGAGTCGTCGGCGCCGGGCGGGTCGCCGGTGGAAGACACGAGCGCGTCGTTGTTGGGGTCGGGGGAGGACGGGGAGGGCGGGGAGGGGAGGAGGGCCGCGAGGGCGGCGAGGTCGGGGAGGGGTTTCCTGGTACCTTGTCCCTGGGGGATGTACTCGAAGCTGTACACGTTGCTCTTGGCGTGGTCGGAGACTCGATGCAGCTGGAACTGAACCTGGAAGACCAACGTACGACGATCGTGACGCGAGATGTACACTGATATATTCAAGAAACTTCTATTTGACATACAGTTAGAGGGTAAAAAACCAACTACTGTGCAATGCAACAATTGTACTACGAACACTCTCTTTGCTGTGACTTGAATCATCAATGCGCCAATATTATACACTACTTTCGGAATGTAATCGTTTTAAAACTATTGGATTTTGTTCATTATAATTTCAAATAAACTAGTTAAGCAGTAAATATTAGTTACAATTAACATACTAACCGTGACGGGTTGCGGTATGGTCTGGTCGCGGTAAGGCGGCGTCTTGAACACGACGGCGAGCTGCTTGTGGACGAACTCCGGCGGGACCTTCTCCACCCAGTCGTCCAGGAAGAACCAGATCTCCGTGTCCTCGCGGGTCACCTACCGAACATCAATATATTAAGGCGAAGTGCATATCTGATGGAAGATCCGCTGCGGAACATTAGAATATTCTACATTCTGTTCTATTTGAAATAATACATGTAATTGTTTATCTAATTTTATATATTTCGTTTAGATCTTTTAAACGACATAAATATACAGAGGGATTCAAGAGGTAGTTTTATATGTATAATACAGGAGTCAGAACCACGCGAGCGAAGCCGCTAGCGGAAAGCTAGTTTAAAATGTGGTTATAAAAATATATTTGAGGTTCTTATTACCATGGGTATTTACTCAAAATCAATCGTTTAAAAGTTAAGACACTTCCAAAGGGGTAAAATGTGCTTCCCCCCCCCCCCCTCCCCCCAGGCATATATTACCTTCTCACATAATAGTATGACTGTGGTACCGCCACGGACTGGTCCGGAACAATGCGACGAGCGCACGATCAGCAGATCCGACATCGCCTTCTTGTCGTACACCACGTCCGACACGATCGGTTGTAGCGCACATTGTACCTAACGTTGCAAACAAACAAAACTATACAGTTAAACACAACTGACTGAATATGACTTGTCGTGAAGCTACCCTCTTCCGGTGTTGATATTATTAAGGTGTAGGTAAAGTTTACGTTGTTACCTTGTATGTGTCGTCGGTGAGGAACACCTGGAAACAGAGTCGAACCGCGTTCAAATCTATGCTCTGCGGCTGACTTCTGTGACTATCTGTAAATAATATACCAACATATGTCATCATCACCAACCTATTAATTTCCCCACTGATGGGGCTCAGGCCTCCGAATGAATGGAATCAATAGGGAGAATGGGCCATGACCCACCAAGTGGGCCGTAATTGGTGGATTTAGCGGCCCGGGATTGGTGGATAATAACGACTGCAAATGCAACCGAGACCAATAAATTTCTGGTCATCCATCCTATGACCGGCCTTGCGAAAGTTGGATAACAACCGTATCGCAAACCGAACGCGCTAGCCACTGCGTCATCGAGCTCCTCCCACCAACATATTTCTCAATCCCAGCCTTCGTCTACAAAGCGACTGTTTTATTTAGATTTCATTTAAATTTTCAAAAAAATGTACATAAATAATCATGATATAAAAATTATAGTGTTATGTAGATTTTTAAATCAAGTAAATTTAAAAATTCCCATTTTGACGGTAACCTTAAAAATATGACATAGTTTTTGCTTAGTTATAGCTAATGTGGATTTAATATTTTCTTTATTCACAATCAACTTTTATATCAACGATTTAGATGTTTTCTTAAGAATGCCCTTTGTGTTTAATCCAGCAGCTTTAATAACCATTAAGGGCGACAATATGGCGTCCTATTAAACCACAATCACAATTCAATTAGTGGTTGTGTTGTTATTATTAAACATCATGGAGCATTAATATTTCATTGTGTCTGCCTGAAGCGGGGCACATGTCGTAACAATGCCATACTATTTTTGTCTGTAACCGCTATTCCTGGGCGAGGCGTGCGCGCGCGCACATGCCCGCGGTATGCTCACACTGTGATCATTATACACATTAACACCTTTCACTTCCTTGATCATGATTCATCAGTACCTAATCAAATTCAATATTTGACAACTGTTATATAATTTATTTTCTTAGTTTCTGATCCATTATATCAAATAATTTGAATAAAAAAGCTATTTTATCCTTGCCATAATTTTTCTAATAATATACAATATTATATGCCTGTATGTTAACAATAATACAAAGACAAATAATTTGTTAAGATAAAGTAAAGAGGCGAATGAAAGGAATTTTATAATTTTTTGTATAAATCATATGAACCTCCAACAAAATCAGTACCCAGAGTACAATATTGTAATTCGGTTGCCACCTTCAGTTCGGATTGATCTTAGTAGATCAAAACTCATAGTGTATTGTAGATTACGAAATTAAGTATATTAGTAAAGAATATAACGAAAATTTTAAATAGAAAGTATTTTACCATTCGTGGACTATCACAGAGCAAATGAATATTATGAAAAAAATATTTCGTATTCGATGTGATTGATCGTTATGTAATAAGAGGGTACTGGTTATTATATTACGATTTTATTATGAAGGGTTAATTAATTAATCACTCGGTAACGACTAAACAAATTTAGATAAAATTTCTTCAGACACAGGTATACGTATAACTCCCGATACTATATATAGACGTGAGCAGACGCTTTATATTTAATAAAGACATAGCTAGAGATGGGATGTTACTTTTCGCTACTATTAAGCGTATTTTCTTCATCAATGTTCAGGCAATCCACCCAATGAGCCGAAAGAAATATTATTACAAATATTTAAACTTTTGATAAGGAACTTTCGAGAAATGTATATTTTAATAGGTATATATGGCAAGAAAACGTGGCGAAAGAATTTAAATAATCATTAACTTTATATACATTTTCATAATTTTCTTTGGTCATCATTTATATTAATAACGTAACTTGATATTTTCGCATCAGAAAGCGTAACTCTTAGACTGGAATATACGCCCTGCATTGCTATAAATACACCCGTTGCCATCGATAATGTTTAACGCAACCGATCAACCAGCGAACTGCTGCCCAGAAACAGATTAATGTAGGTTAAAGACGTACATACGTATTTCAGACGCATGTATTGTTGAAATCTGTAAGAAGGTGAAGTACTGATCAATGAACAGTTTGAACTGCATAGATTCTTATTATACTTTCATCGCAACCCTTTCGAAAATATCTATTATATTCTATCATGATTTTCTGATTGTCGTTCTGATAAGTAAGGCACGTTTAGACTGGGCGAAAACGTTTGCGATGGTAGACTTCATAATCTAATGAGATTATATTAATAACCTAGATGTTTGAGGGGATTTCACATACGATAAAAGGCAATCTTTTTCGGAATCTAACAAATTTTTGTCTTCTATTCTTCTCATTTTGGAAAACAGTAGTTTATAGACTCTAAGGCTGGCGACACAGATCCGTTTCCGCAACGTGCCGCTGTTGACTTCGCGATGTACGCGATGATTGAGAAGTAAAACACGACATATTTTTTTCTATTTTATATCTCTTACGGGACCAGTGCCAAGCTACGGTCCTTACATATTTTTGTCTTAATTGATTTTATTTTATTTAGGACATATTCTTTCGTTCACTATAAAGAATCATGTCCACTTACCAAACATTAATTGAAATGTCACGTTTTTTTAAAAAACATGTCTACCTACCATTAGTGATAATTTAAAATTAGTTTTTGCATAAAATATAATAATAAGCATATTTTCATCTGGAGGCCAGGGAGATTCGTAATTTGTAAATAATATTTAGAGGTTATGTCAGCTGTCAAAACTAGAGATAATTGTTAAGCTACTTTAAAAATTAATGCATTAAAATAAAAGATTTTTGTAGTTTGATTCGTAAATGTAGAAATAAATTAACATGTAATTGTTGACGTGCAGTTTTTAACCTTATGACGAAAAAAAAATTCCGTAGTAGATGAAACGAAACGTAGCAAACAGTCATTGTACGGTCCGAATTGCATTGGTGTAGTGTAGCAAATAGTCATTGCAGGGTCCGAATCGCATAAAGGTAACTTTTGAAAATATTTATCAGCATCGCAATTTTCATCCTGACTTTATTTTAAGACTTAATTACACGATATAGAATACAGTTTGAGATATATCACATCACTAGACGCATTAGTAAATTTTTTGGTCAAAATTAGACACGAGTCTTTAAAGTTACTAAAATTAAGTTTAATATATTTGAAATTAAAATCGGCTATCGGTTCGCAAGGACTCGCAAGCATATTTAGTTTTATTTAATACTAGCTGACCCGACAGACTTCGTCCTGTCAAAAAGATTTGTAATGTGGCAGTTTTTTTGCCTACGTATTTAAAAAAATTCTCCTGAACAGAACCGTCACCCTGGTGATAGGGCGTTGTGAATAAAAAATAATTAAATAAAACATATATAAGGATTTAAATGTAAGTAATCGCAATTATTGCAATGTATTAATAGTAATAGTATTAAATATAGAAAAAAGAGATTTTTATGATCATAAAAACACATTACACACAACAGCATTATAAAAGTAAACTATTCGAATTAAAAAAATATATAAACATTCTCAAGGAAAAATGCTGGAAGAATCCATCTACCTGTACCCCGGAATGGGACTCGAACCCATTCGCGATCCAGGGACTGCTCTAACCAATGAGCTATCTAGGACCCAACAGCTTTGCTACTACAGAGCGTATTTTCATCAATGTTCCGGCAATACATGTAATGACGTGGAAACTGATGCATTTTATCTCGCGTGCCGAAACTAATACAAAAGAAACGCGAGTTTCGGAACGCGACATTAAACTCCTCCAACTATGTATTCTGTGCTCCAACGCACACACGCACATTGTTTTGATAGATATGATCTTTGACGTTAGGAACACACCTACATTGCTTAGACAACAGTGAGTGCTTGTAATTTAATATGAACTTTATACCATAGCAATAAAGCTCAAATTGACTACGTTTTAGTTACAAATCATTTGTATGGGAAAAAGAAAAGGGCTATTTTTAGGGTTTTTCCAGCAATAATTCTAATTTTTCTCCGTAAAAACCATCCTTGAACTTCAACGAACATTTTAAAAAAAGATTTGGCCAAATTGGTCGAGGCGTTGTTGAGTTATGCGCTTACCAACACATTTTGCGATTCATTTTTATATATATAGATTGGTGCTGTTTTAGTGCGAGGCTGTGTTTTGTCACCCTTTTAATTTGGTAACGCAGGGGAACTTAAGTTTTTAACCAGGACTCATCAACAACCCTGCCCCGAGAAGGGCAAATTCTCAGGTAAAACCCACTGTATTACCCTCGGTTGGGGAAAATGACCCAGGATCCAGCAAGGAGCCCACCGGACCTAGTGTTTGATGGCCGCCTGGTTGTAGTGTGTAGTGTAGTGTATAGTGTGGTGTAGCCAGTACTCACTCTTGAAGGGGTTGACGCGCAGCTCCTGGCGCACGCGCAGCGCGTCGGCGATGTCGCGCCGCTTGACGCACTGTATGCCGAGGTTCTTGAACTGCACCTGGCAGGAGTCCGCGTCGCCCTCCGTCTTCACCTTCACCGTGCACACGCCCTTCTGACAGTCGCGACCCACCAGGTTGTGCGGGTGCGGCCTGCATAACAAACCTCCTCATATCATATTGGATAAAAAGAAAAAAAAACGCATTCGCTGCGGCAACAACGCCTAGTGTAAAATGCCGCAAGAAACACGTTGTTACAGCGTTTTATACATGTAAATAATGTAATTTAAAATGCCGTAACGGAAGACATTTTTATGCCTCCTCATCAAAGATAAATCTAAGAAGTTTGATTATAATCATTCCAATCAAGTCAAGTTTTAATCTACCATCAATTTCTAATACTATACCTTACCACATAATGCGGTCCAATTTGACTTTTACTTGATATTTCAGATATAAAAAACAACGCTAGTATTTTTATTTGATTATTTAATTTTTTAATCAATAAAAATGAGTATTTATTTAAAGTGTCTTGTGCTGCGCTTACGCATGTAGGTATTAACACTATTATTTTATTGTATTTGACCAATTTTGCATTAACAATGCTATACCCTATTATGCATATTATTATTATTCCTTTTAATATTACAAATGTGTAATTTTTTTTGGATGTTTGTTCGTCAATTACGCCTTTGATGAAATTTGGTATGCAGATAGGGTATTAGCTGACTATAATAGGATACTTTTATCCCACTAATCATTTCTTAAGGGACCACGCAGGCGAAGCCGCTGGCTAAAGCTAGTTGATATATATCTTTAAAAAATGGTTAACTTTAAAGCAATAATTAAATTGGAATACAGTCGATTAAGTTCATAAAGCATAACTTCATTAATCAATCTCTCAGAATACAATTTTTCGCATGCGTGTAATGTGTTACTTTATAAAGTAGCTCATCGTGAACACAGCACCCGCACGTGTATTCTCCCACGAGGTATGTTCTTGTGTTGGCAATAATGACGTATCCATAACATTCACTTGTTTCGAGTCCAACCTTCGATTATCACATATTGACGAGGATGGCCCTCACATATCCACATTAACAAGAAGTACTTTAAAGAAAAAGATATTTGAATGGAAGTTTTATATTTATTTTGTAAAAAAATAAACCATTTAAATAAATATATACATTAATAAAAGAAGATTTCACGTTTTTTTTTTATTTATTTACACTTCCTACCCTATCCCTCCAGTATTTATTGATAGGTAACTTTTTTTACCTCATTATATAATTCGTAAATACATATATATTTTTTATTCAATGTGTAATGAATGTTATACAACGTATTTGTATATTTATCAAATAAATAAATAAATTATAACTAATATACCGAATAGGGACGATGACTATTTTTTGTTTGTATGTCCGTCGGGTAGATTATTCAACACTTTTTATTTTTGCATAATCGATAAATTACGGCGATGTACATATACAACATAGTTGTGACGTAGCGAGGTCCCACTCTTCAACTTTAATAGCTATCATCTAAGCCATTTCTTGTTAAATTGAAATAAAAAAATACTTATCTAATATTTTTCTATTATACCTATGACCGACGGACTAAATAGAATTCTTTTTTATTTACCCATGCATATTCTTACTTGTATGGTTCATCTTTGGTGACGCAGGACACAACGATAATCATACAGCCTTTGTAGCCGGATACTTTGATGGTCGGGTAGGTCTTGTTCTCGGGCGTGCTGTGCACCCCGGGAATAGAACCCGCCGACCGGCCCTCGCACTCATAACGGAACCTGCACAAATAAACCAATTTAAATAACAATATAATATTCCATACAATATAAACGGTGTCGGTAATATCGCTTTAGATTTATTACAAATTTTAATGGACGTTTGTGAAATGGGAGTAAGTCGGCGATCCAAAGGCGGCCGTATATCGTGAAATGAATGAATGAATTTACAATATGGCGGAATCTTTGGAGGTAAATTAAACGATTACAAAAAAGTTTTGCAAGCGATATGATGTCAAAAGGTTATGAATACCCTAATTAAAAAAAAAACTAGTTAAGAAGTTATGCTAATCTTAAATTATATATATATATATATATATAAAAAACAGAAAATAGTTCGTGGGGAACCAATAGCGCGCGAGTTCTATTCGCTGTTTGTCGGTTATTTTATGAAAATTAATAGATATCATTAATAAAACTCTACCATTATTTTTCTCTACCTACTATCCTATACCCATGATAGTAAACATTTGATAAACATAAACATTTGTTGGCAATAGTTGGAGGTGCAGGTTTATTTCCAGGTCTGCCGACCGGAAAACTAATGGGGTCAGACGACTTTACATCTTACGATATTTTCTTAGTAATTAGTACCAGCGCGTTTATGTAAATATCGGTATCAGTTTTGACAGCATTGGATTAAAAGCTCGCGGCTAAAACCACTGCAGGCATAAATCTATACTTATTATATAAAGCTGAAGAGTTTGTTTGTTTGAACGCGCTAATCTCAGGAACTACTGGTTCGAATTGAAAAATTCTTTTTGTGTTGAATAGACCATTTATAGAGGAAGGCTTTACACTATATAACATCACGCTGCAACTCTTAGGAGCGAAGAAATAATGGAAAACGCGGACGAAGTCGCTGGCGGCCAGTAGTTTCATAAGCGAAGATTGAATTATTTAGTAGGTTTAAAAATACTAAATCAATAAATGTTAATATTTAACATTGATTTTTCGAGTAGGTATCTAAAATTGTGAAGTGTAAATGCAAAATTTATAGCACCCGTTTAGTGGTTTTTGATACATTAATAAATGTTGTTAGTTGGTTGGGGCACAGTTAATATGTTGTTCTATATTATGAAATAAATACAACCAGTTATAATTATTAAAGATATATACTTTAAGTTAATATTAACGACCGAGGACCGACACAATATAATTTACATAGTACCACGTTTTTTGCCCACACCATAGATAAGGTTATCAAACAAACCTAATATTTAAATCTAACACCTTTTATATAATTTCATAAATGTTCATACTTATAAACAATGTTATACCAACCAAATAAATATAAAAACATGAGATAGAAATTATAAAATTAGTTACATTAAATCTTGTAAGCACTAGACAAGGAAATGTAGCAATGTATGTATGTAAGAAATAGTTTGCTTAGCAAAGTGTACCGTTGCCGGCCCTACCACAACAAGTAGTCTCATATCGACTTGAGCACCGAGGAAACTGGTTATTGACACTCGAACAAAGGGACATGTTTCAACAAAGTTTAAAAAATATTCGTATTATTAATATGAAGTAGTCCGTTATTTACTAATAGATTTGTTATAAAACATATAGGTACTCTAGTTTCCCAAAGTGTGCTCCACTGCTTGTTAGGGCTCTGTCAAGTGTATGTTGGAGGTCGACGAAAAAAATTTGGTCATGATTGTATGGTATTCTTTATTAATAAGTACAAATAAAACCAGTTTTTGTTATATTTTAGGGTTCCGTGTAAATATTGGGTTACAAATTGATTCTGAGAGTCGTCTCAAGATTCATGGAATCTATCTAAAGAATCTTTTATACAAGACACACATTGATACCAAATCTATTGTACCACGCTGTAAACTAAACTTAACATTGTTTTCATATGTAATTTAATAAACATAATTACGAGTAGGTACAATTGACCTCCAGTATACATACATACATAGTGTGCCATATGTTTACTTTTGTTACAGTAGTTGTTTACAGCGTTGAAAACGCAGTTTCACAGTTTTGATTCAAACTAAATATTGTCTAGTCTGTGGCTATAGAATTACCACCATTCTCATTAACATGTGGCATAGCATATACATATTTAATGACTCAAAAACTTACTGCTGGAGCACAGTATTTACAAGCTTCGTTGTATTATATTACGTATATACATCATACATACGAGGGTCAAACTGAAAGTTCTTAGAACTGGCCACTTATAAACAATATAATAAAAAAATAATTCTAAAATTTGAAAATATAACTCTTTGCCAATATTACTGAGTATATATTTCATTCATTTGTCATTTGTTTTACGATTTGGCGGCAAATTGAAAATTGTCTGTGTCACGTCATCATGAATTTAACACGAGAAAATTTTCGTGCAATGATTTTTTATGACTTTCGATGTCATTTAAGTCAACAAGAAAGTTATGATAGACTACGATTGGCCTTTCACGATGAAGCCCCATCTCGTGCGACTGTTTACAACTGGTTTAATGAGTTTAAACGTGGTCGCACTAATCTCACTGATGATTTACGTGAGGGACGGCCTTCTACGGCGACGACTGAAGATAACATCTGTGTTGTGCGGCGTATGATAGAGACTGACAAAAGAGTGACCTATCAACAGATTCGGACAAGCTTAGGCATCGGTATGAGTCAAGTGCACAAAATCCTCCACGAACATTTAGCGGTCAGGAAGCTTTGCGCCCGGTGGATACCTCATAATTTGACTGAGGCTCAAAAACTCCATCGTGTGGATTGGTGTCGTAAAATGATTGAAAGATTTAACGGAGGTGACTCAAATGCTGTGTTCGACATACTAACAGGTGACGAAAGCTGGATTTACTGTTATGATCCTAAAACCAAAAGACAATCTGCTCAGTGGGTGTTTCCTTTCGAGGAGTTGCCAACTAAAGTGAAGAGAGATCGAAGTGCGGGAAAAAAAATGGTGGCCTCGTTCTTTGGAAGGATAGGTCATTTTGCAACAATTGTGTTAGAGGATCAAAAAACAGTTTCTGCAGAATGGTACACTACCAATTGTTTGCCACTTGTCTTGGAAAAAGTTCGAGAGAAACGACCTCGCAGTAGGGTCCTCCTTCACCACGACAACGCCTCGTCGCACACCGCCAAGCGAACGATCGACTATTTGGCGACATCAAACGTTGAATTACTGGGTCACCCGCCGTATAGCCCCGACCTCGCGCCTTGTGATTTTTATTTATTTCCAAAAATTAAAGAAAAACTTAAAGGAAAGCGGTTTATGAATGCTGAAGAAGCGGTGGCTGCGTATCGCGATGCCATTGAAGAGACCCCTAAGGACGAGTGGGCAAAGTGCTTTTCCCAGTGGTTCCATCGCATGCAGCGGTGTATTGACGTGAATGGACAATATTTTGAAAAGATATAATAAAACTAATAACTGGCTAATGTAATCAGTTTTTGATTTTCTAAGAACTTTCAGTTTGACCCTCGTATATAACAGGTGTCGAGTCTCGTGTTTACCGCGTGTAGAGGAAAATCTTGGTCAATGGTGCCTGACGCCACAGTTAATAAATAAACAGAGCCAGTGAATCAACTTTTATCCTATGTGTGTACAACGAACGGCTAAATTCAAGCGACAATAATACTATGGAGTACCTTCTGTACAAAATATTTAAACACGTCCAATTTATTTATTTTAAAACATTGACGGAAGACTAACGGACAGACAGACGGACATAACGAAACTGTAAGGGTTCCCTGTTGACTATGGAACCGCAAAATTGAAAATGAAAGCGACTTTGTTTGATAAAAATGGGAAAAAAATAAAGAGCACAAATATAAGAAAAAAATCAAAATCTCGTTTTATAAGTACTGTACTAGTGATCAGTAGCGTCAGCTAAATGTGGCATTTTCGTGTACCTACTTAACCAACATAGCATATGCATTTAATATTATCCACAAAGATTGTACCGATTTGAATTATTTTAAACATTATTTATTCCCTGTAAAGATATTACATCATTTAATAATAAATCATCTAACATTTTCAATTGTTGCTCCACTCCTATAAGTCATAGTGTGATGTTATATAGCTTTATTATTAATAAAGATATATCGCAGGCAAAAAATATGCATATAATATACCTAGAACCAAATAGAAAAACTTCTTAAAACAATGATTGAAAATTAATTAAACTGTTATAAATACTCATACCTATTACCCAAAAAAGTTTTTTATCACATGAATTTGTCTTTCATTATTTTATTTATTTTAATGTTAACATAAGAATTGACACTACTGTCGTTGCTTTTACTATGACAAGAGTTGCTCGCTGCGTGCGAAGTGAGACCAATCTATTGCAATTAAAAATATGTGAAACAAACTAACATTGCTTTTCAATTCAATGTTCATTTCCTTACTCATTTTCCTTCTTATTGAAGGATAAGTCAACATATAACTATAGTTGTTGTTCTTTAGTGTCAATTTTTGAACAAACAGACAGACCGTGTGTTTTTGGACACAAACACAATCACAGGCAAGTTAATTTTCATATCAACCTGACCGAAATCGAATCAAATACCAAGTTATAAAAACTATTAGAAGGTCATCAAGCCCTTCATTAAAACATTACCACAAGTTTGTTTATCTGTATGTAGAATCTCAAATAGCTCCCTACTCAAAAGTTTATCACTATAAATTCACCAATAAAAGAATTAATCATTAATTATATCGTACAATAAACGGACAATTTCACTGTAAAAGACAAGAAAGGACAAGAAATATTTGTCCATTGGTACCAATACCAATGGACAAATAAAACGCGTTCGGCGCACTAAATGAAAGAAATGAAACGAGTCATACTATAATAACTATATAGCAAACCGTGAAGTTGACGTGTTTACAGGGACAGGGATAACTATCGAGACTATGCCTTACAATACTAGTGCAGTCACTTAACCATGGGTACTTGTTTTATGAGGAAATTTGCAACCGGTCATCTTGTTATACCGGTCAATACGATACCTTTTTTTAAGTACCAAGT